TCCTGACTTGACCTCTGACTATCACCTTTGCTTGGGGGCCCAGTACCGCACACGTTGTATCCGTGGAGTGGGAGCTATCCAGCGACCATCCATGGTGTGAAATTGAGTAAGTCCCTGAGGTTGAGGGCATCAGGAATCTGTGATCACAATGCCATATTGAGATGGCTAACGTGCAGTGAGCGCACATAGGTGTTTCTTATGAATTGTGTGATGGTGCAGTGAGCACATGATGTGTGAATGAGAATGAAATGATGAAATGATTACTTATATTTGTTGATGAATGATTTAAATTCTGTTAGAAAACATATGGAATGGACAATGTGAGACTCTATGATTGTGTATCCGTGTATGATAGTGTAGAGTACTTACCCTTACATTTATTTTTCAGGTGAACAAGACGATCAACACTAGGCTTAGTGAAGGGATGAATAAAACTGCCATAGGACTTAGAAAGTTATTTTGAAAACTGTGATGTATTTAAATTAGTCTTGTAACAATCATTTGATATAAACTTGTAATTCATCCTTATTTTGAAACAGTTTATTGAACTATGTATTGGGAACCATTTGAATGAAAATTTTTATTATTCTCATTTATTGTGAAATTTATTTATTTAGAAAATTAAATTAAGGTGTTACAAATTGAATATAATTTGATTTAGATTCATAATTGCTTTTTTATTTTAAGATTGGTAAATTATATTTTCTTTTAAAATTATATAACAATAATATTAATAATAAATAAATAAAATTTATGTATAAAATTATAAAGTTAATATGTGACTTATCTACCTTTATTCATGATAAATTATAAAAAAAATGATGTGTGTTCATGTTATTATAGTCCTCATACTACATAAATTTATTTTAAAATTATTTTTTTAACTTCAATAAATCAAGTAATTAACTTACTAACTAATTTAAATATATTCTTTTAAACATACCTCCCTTTGATTATTAAATAATTAACTTTTTTTTTATTAACTAAGTTAAAATCATATTCTCATATTTATACAGTAATTATATCACTAATGTGTAATGTTTATGTCGTTATACACTATAAATCATGAAGATTTATGTATATCAATAGGTCTTAAGTGTATAATTTTATTTTTAAGTTAAGTCATATTTTTATCATTAATTAATTAAATATTTTATTAAACATTTTTTATTAATTATTAACAATTAATTTTTTAATTATTAAGTAAGATAAAATAATAATATTATTTTAATACAACAATTTATAATATTAATGGCTAATGTTTATGTCTTTATATATTATTAATAATTGAGATCTATATCTCCAGTATTATTTTAGGTCTTATGTAATATAAGTTTATTTTTAAGTTAAATTATATTTTTATCCTTAGTTAATTAAATATTTTATTTAAAAATTTCCTTTTAATCATTAAAAAATAATTTACTATTTTTTAAGTTAGAATCACATTATTTTATAAATTAATGAAATGATTTGTAACGTTAATGTGCAGGGTCTCAACTTATATACACTGTATATCGTTGAGACTTATGTGTATCGATGTTATTATGCAGCTCATGCAATAAATTTATTTTAAATTTAAATTATTTTAATTTTATTTTATTAAATAAATTTTGTATTAATTAATCTAAAATTAATTTTTAAATGTTTTTCATTTTTACTATTTAGATAATTAATTTAAGATTTGAACAATCCTTTAAACTTAATTAATTAAATAAATATGCATTTAATCTTTTCAAATTTTTTTCATTTTATCTAGATAGAAATTTAGAACATATATGTTTAATTTAAATTGTTTTTGGTTGTTGAATAAGTGTTGAGATATTCAAAATATTTTTACATAAATTATAGTACCTTTTTTAAGTATTAATTTCTTTAGAACAATTTATAATATGTATATAGGATCTTTCATTGTCTTCTATAATTATTTATCATAGGATTAAATATATAACTATGTTATTTTATATATTAAGTGTTATAATTGTTTTTTTTAAAAAAGTTAATGTTAAAATAAATTCCTCTAAAATTCTATAAATTTTAAACTGATAAACTAATTTCATAACATTTCAAAGAGTTAGAATATATTGATACCAGGTGTCAAACTTGAATACTTACACCATTAGGTAACGTTTCATGTAATGTGATATTAAATAATATAATCGTTAGTTTAAAAAATTTTATCAAGTAGATTAACTTCATAAAATTTAATAAAAAATAAAATTATAGGTATCTCATCACATTAGTTCATTTTAATGGGTGTTATATTTTTAAAATATAAGTAAATTTTAGCTTTTGAATAACATATTTACAAATATCTAAATCGTATAAAATTTGATATACAAGATAATATAACATGATTTAGTGATTGATATACAAGATAATATGACACCTGATGTCAACTGAATTTTAACTCTATTTTTAATAGAACTATGTGACTTTAATTTATTTATTGCATTTAGGATACATAAGAGTGTTTATTGAACCCATCAAATTAAAGTAATTTTTTAAAATAATATATTTAGGGAATGAGAGAGTCTTTCCATGTAAATTTGTTATAGTTAGTGAGAGTAGATCCAAAGAAGTTTATACTATAGAGATCACGATAAAGTATGACATTTCTTTTGATTACTCTACTAGTGTTAGGATCTATCACACTCTCTGTTTGTATATAGAAAGACTATTAGAACACCAGATGCAGTAAATTATGTATATTCTTTCCATGACTTCAAAAATTTGAAAAGACTGACTAAATTTACTTAGAGAGCAGATAATAAACACAAAAATCAAGCTAATACTGGAGACCATTATAACGAGAACTTAACATAAGAAATTGAAGAACTAGAGGGTTGGTTGGATGGATTGATCTAAACTAAGATCATATTTTTTAAGTTTTGGTGTAAGAATGACCTGCTCATTAGAACTTGATGTATTTTGATTTTATAATTATTTAATTTAAGTCTTATTTTGATTATGACTTATAAATATTGAACTCATAAATTTGAGTGATACTAAATATGTTAATTATTTATTATTATTTAAATTTTATTTTATTTAACAATTTATGTTGTGATGAGAAAAATTTAATTATACGTTAAATTCTATCATTTTAAATATTATTAAAATTTTTATGGATTAAACTACGAGAAATAAAAATTTTAAAATTTTGCTAAATTTTATCGTATTACAATTGAGAAAGAGCTAATTATTATTTTAATTAAATTTATAATTTTTTTATAATTCATGAAAAAAATAATTTATCAATTAAGAGTGTTACAAAATAAATATTAAAATAAAAGATATTTAATTATTTTATAAGAACTAAAATATATTTAATTTAAAATTAAATTTTAATAATTTGGGTTATTTACATGGTAAGAGTACAGAGATTTGCGGACAAATATTCAGTATGTAGGGCAGGTTATTATTAAGTTTGCTTGGATGATGTGTCTTTTTCAATAGTACTCAGCATGTTATCATGTTTGAAGAGAAATAAAATAATTGGCAGCGTCAACATCAGCTACCTAAAGGTTTTGAAAATGTCAAGAACAAGATTTTGCCCCAGTCCCTAAAATATACAAGCAGCGCAGTTTACAATCAACGTTGCAGGTACTCAGTCTGTAGTATATTTTTTCATACAAATCACACATAAAAAGGGCAAGTTAACAGTTTCTTTGTAGAGTAATACACCATAGAAAGAAAGAAAGAAAAGTCAAAATTCCCCATTTATTTAAATAAAATATATCATTAATTTATCAAAAGAGACGATAAAACATGAATTTTCTGCTTTAAATGTAGCCTTGAACCAAATGAGATTATTTCTGACAAAAAAAAATGCATATTTCTTTCAAATATATAGTTTAAAAATAAATTTAACAATATTCATAATTAGTAAATAAAATTTAATTTAAAATTTAAAACAAAATAAGCTAAAAATGAGATGTGACATGCTTTAAAGAATAAAATTAAAATTAAAATAAGCAAATGTTACTTACTGTCCTAATAAATCAAAAATGATTTTTTATTTAAAATAAGAGCACTGATTAGAAAGTTTGTTAAAGAATAAATAATAAAAATTATTAAAAATGCACTAATATCATAATTTTGAAAGTATTTTCAAACCTGAATTTCCATAAATTTTTTTTTTAAATATTTACAAAGTGATAGAGTATTAGTTAAGAGTCTTAATATAAATTAAAGATGCCATACTCTCTATTAACAAATATTTGAGGGATTTTTTTTAAAAAAAAATATTTGATTAAAAATATAATATTTAATACAAAAATTTAGAAAGTTGAAACTCTATTTAATATGTTTAATTTTATTTTTCTCTTACATTGCTCTAAAAATCCTTGTTGACATTTACTTTTATTATATAAGGGTAGCTAATGGTGTTTGAAATTTAAATCCTCAATCAGAGTGATTTATTTTAAAGAGAAAAGTAAGTAATCTCAATTATTGATGAAAAAATCAATGAAATAACAAATTCATGATATATTATATTTGCACATGAAATATTAATCATATAATTTTTTCAACGATAAATGAGATTCTTTAATTCTTTATTTTTCTCAGTAAAGGAATAATCTCTTTAGTTGAACCAACTACTAGCTTTTATGCCTATCGTTGTCCTTAAAAAAAATATTTCATTTTAATTTACAAGTACAACCAAGCCCTCGATACCTGTTGAGTTTGGCCCACCAATCAAGCAAGCGTGTTCTTAGGTACCCACCACCCATGTGCGGATGTGCAATAGCCATTCACAAGATCAGCAGAGAAAACAATGCCTACACTGCTTCCATGTGTTCCAAACTTATTGGCTTTCCTGTTCTTTGAAGTCTTACATTTCAGTAACACAAGGGTAAATTATATTTTATTCGTAGTTTTCTTTGTCCTTATGCACACTTTTTAGTATTATATAACTGCCCCAACTGCTTCAACTTCTCTTACTCTCTTCCTTCACTTTCAGTTCTTCCAAGGAATACAAGGAAAAGAAAGAAAGAAAGATGATTAAGTTGAGGTCAATGAGGTTTAGCCGAAGCAGCTCTAAGCTTGGGAACGGGAACAAAGCAGCACCACCCTCAGACAAGGATTGCAGAAATGTTGGTGATATCCAATGGGAACTTAGGCCTGGTGGCATGCTTGTTCAGAAAAGGGATAGGAACCGAAGTGCAGGGGAGGGGATGATCACAGTTACGGTCTCAACTGTGTCACAATCTCATGAAATTTCTATTGAGGCCACATCAACTTTTGGTAAGCTTAACTCACCCCTTTTGGTTACAAATTGAAATGAAAGAGACCCAAAATCTTTATTTTCTGTTTAGTTGGTCAATGGTTATTCTATCTTTCAAAAGTTCTTTTTTTTCTTTTTTTCTTTTTTCGCATAATGGAGTACCTCACGTGGGTATTTGACAATTGTGAACAACTAATAATTTGCAGGAGAATTGAAAATGATTCTTTCACTGGTAACAAGCTTGGAGCCAAGAGAGCAAAGGCTTCTCTTCAAGGGTAAAGAGAAAGATGATGATGAATATCTACATATGGCTGGGGTTAGAGACAAGGACAAAGTTCTTCTGTTGGAGGATCCAGCTATAAAGGAGATGAAGCAGCTTGGCTTAAGAGAGCAAACTATTAATAATCCTTTTTGTACCATCAGAGTATGACTAATTAATTAAACTCACTGTTAATTAGTATTAACAACAGAGGAAAGTTTGAGAAAGTTTAATTTAGTGAGGGGAGGTTTTTATTCACTTTGCATTAGATTAGTAGCTTAATTATGTCCTTATCTGTTGTTTAGAGCCTTCGTTCAATTAAAAATGTCTAAGTTGATGCAATGCCAAGTCATTTTGTGTAGTTTGATTAGTGAATGTTTATACAGGTGTTGATTCCTGTTCTTTTTAACATTTTTCATATTACGATGATTTCTGTGCTTTGTTCAAATATATAAATAAAGTAATAAACCCACGCGTGCACGCCGAAAAAAGTTGATTAAGAATGATAAAGGTAAAGTGGGAAGCTTTGCTAAGGTTGGGACAAATTTTCAGAAAAGATGGCAGATTATGGGTTTTAAAGTTCAACTTGTTGGGTCTAAAGTGGCAGTTCAATCAAGCGCATCCACTGTTCAATAGCATACAGTTTATTTATGAAATAATAACAATAATAATTGGGAAATGCTATTTAGTATTCACAGATGATGGGTTGAGAACTTGAGATTATAAAACAATATGCATCTTTTGAGAGAATGTAAGTTCAAATCTTAAAAACAAAATCCTACCAAGTTACATAACTGTCAATTGAAATTAAATTAATCTTATCAACGATTACTAATCGAATTTTATTTTTAAAGTTTGGCCTTAGAGCTTGTTAGATTATCAGTAATTCACTTATTCTTACATTTATGAATAAAATACACACATTTAATAAAAAAAAAATATTATTTAACACTTAAAATGAACTCTATTACTTATAAAATAAATGAGATTTTTAACGACGAAAATAGTAATATAATCTAATTGGTGAATTCTCTCTCACGAGTATCATATCAGTATTTTGGAGTAAAAAAATATTTATTTTTTTCATTTACATTAAAAGTGCAATTTACTTTCCAAGCTGAGAGCATGGTAATTTATTATTTTCTCATGTTCCGTTGTATGGAATAACACATTTAGTAATCATGGTTTATTAAATTTAAAAATTTATACAATATATTTTAAAAAAAAATTATTTTACTTAAAGTATGTTAACAATAACTTTTGTGCCGAAGAAATAAAAGAGACCGTGTCCCAGACATGGGGTCCTCTCTCTTGGAAAGCAACTTCAATGGAATTTTGGATCTTGTTGGCAAGCAGAGTCAATTGTATTATCTGTCAACATTTTATTTGTTCTATTTGATGATCCTGTTCTTAGCCAGAGGAGAAAAAATCTTTCGATATCCCAAATATTTTTCGAATGGAAGCAACGTTGTTTAAATTTGTAAGAATTCGCAAATAACGTAGTCAAAACCAAGCTGACTCACATTCTCCGTTTAGCTTTTGCATTCCTTTCTCCCCAGTTTTTGTTAGTGGATGAGCCAGAAAAGAAAAGAAAAGAAAAAAAAAACGCTCAATCCTTCTTCTAAGTTTTTCCCTGAGTCGATCTCCTAAATTTTTCAAAAACTTAAAAGATAAATAATTCACTTTAACTTTACAAATTTTCTATTTATCTAAAGTTTCACAATTTTCACTTTATTTATAATTTTTTTATAGAAAAAAGAATAAAAAAACACATAACCTTAACATGATTTAACACCTCTTTTTTAAGTTTAAAAATTTCTAACCTGATTTTTTTATTTTATAATTTTTTATCAGATAAAATTATAAATCATTTACCTTACAATTTTTGACCAGAAAAAATTATAAAATTCTCTCCTACACAAACCACAAGTACACTCAGAAGATTATAAATCATTGTATTGACTAAACATAAAATATTTCTCTTATTTATAATATTTTTCCTTTTCTTTCTTCATATTTATGTGAAATTTTAGATAATTAGCTTAATTTATTAAGTTTATCTTATCAAATTTTCATTTTTATTGAGAGTAAAAAGAATTTTGGATTCATCCCTGGTCTATTCAAGAAAGAGATTTGTGGAGACTTTCATAATAAATTAAAGTTAAAATTAGTAGATTAATTATCTAATATTTCTTTATTTTTTCAGTATGTTGGAGATTAAATTATTTTAATCATACCTATCATTTCAAACAATTAAAATAAATTTAACGTTAAAATTAAGAATTTTTTTCATTTACAAAAATTAATAACCAAAGAAATATGTTTTTGGTATAAGATAAATCAGGTTTCAAAATGATATATTTAATTTTTAAAAAATTTTGAGATTAATTTTAAAATGTGTTTTTCTACTAATTGATTTAAAACATTGTTAAGAAATCACATGATAAGTACAAAATCGGTGAGAAAATAATCCCCCATAAAAAGAGCCCCGTATAAAATGGTTTACAACCAATCAAAATAAAATAAGTTCAAAGGAAGACCTTCAAATTATTGTTGTTAAACAGTGAGTTTATGTAATTAGCCGAAAGAGAGCACCTCCTTATCCTCATCAACCAGATAATGGGCATGTAATTTGAAGGGCTTCCTACACGATATTCTCAAGAAGGTACTGACTGGAATAATTACCATTTTCAGCACCTCCTCTAGTGCCTCCATCATCGTGCACACAATTTTGTTTGATTTTACAATTTTCAAAATAACAAGAATGAAAAATGGTTAGAAAATAGAATATACAAACAAAATACAGTTAAATATAATAAAATTTGATGTCATGAAAAGTTAAAATAAATAATTATTCTAAAAAATATTAAAATAATTAAATTAAACACTTAAATAACAAACTCATAGACAGAGGATCTCAATCACTAACCACAAAATTCATAACCCCGTGTAGCTTTACCACTTCCTTCACAAATAACTCAACGATGGTTCATGCAGTGTAAGGGTGTTTAAAAGGAATAAAGTTGCTATTTTAGTCAGCCTGTCCACTACAACCAAGACAGCTTCAAATTTCTTTAACTTGGGCAATTCGGTTATAAAATCCAAGCTAATATCCTCCCATACCTTTTCTGGAAGAAGGAGAGGTTGTAAGAGCCTCCGGAGTACTAGTCATGTACTTTTGGCGTTGACATGTATCGCAAGCTTGCACAAACTTCAGGGTGTCATTCTTCATACCCTTCCAATACAAATTTGCAGCTGACCTTCTATAACTACGTAAAAATCCAGATGCCCCCCTTATCTTCTAACAATTTGGGGATCCAAGCATATTTTTCTGAAATTACTAATCTATCTTTGTAAAATAGAATACCTTGTTTGTAGGTAAACCCTGGAGTTACCTCTTTTCCTTGCCGCAAAGCTTCAATAATCTTCTTCCATTTCTCCTCAGCATGTAATTCGGCTATGGCCTCTTGACAATCTAACCACACAGGTATGTACATTAATACCCTGAATTCTATTTCCTATATACAACTTAATGAATCCACATTTTATTGAATTTTTACTTGTCTTTTTAGTGTTCCTTAATAAAAAAAAGTAGACTTATGAAGTGTAAATAACATAGAAATTTCATTTTGGTCAAATATCATAGGTTTCTTAATTTTTAGTTAATTTATATTGGTTTACATAGATATAATTTGCAATTTTGATCATTTAAATAATTGTGCAGGAATTTCTTAACTTATTCCATGAATTTTTAGCCTTTGAGAAAATTTGAGTTGAAAGTGATCACTTTCAGAAGTGATAGTAGACACTACAGAGACCCTAGATTGCAAAAAGCCTGTGTGTACTTACTTTAAAATCCATAGTGACAACTATAGCAATGACCAAATTGATATAGCGCTGCGCTTAGCCACTTTCAAAACCATAGTAGCCACGCGCGCTGTGCGTAGCCATTTTCAGATCCCATAGTGACAACTCCAGAGAGGAATGAAAGCATTGGGAGGCTGCGCGTATCTAATATTATTTTGATAGTAACTACTATGGGCGACGATCACTTCACTATAAATAGATTTTTAGAAATTAGGGTTGGAGAGCTTTTAATACTTTTAGATTTTTGCCATTTTGGGAACTCCTGCAGAGTTTAGGTCAGCCTTGGGTGATAGCCAAGGACTCAACCTAAGGTTTGATTTACATTTTCTCTTTACTTTCCTTTAATTTTTATATTCATGTCATTGAATTCTCTTTGTTTTCATCTTGTATTTGTGAGACCCATCCTTATGGAGCGATAAATCCCTTGTAATCCTTAGTGAGTTCACTTGGATTCTTGAATTCCTAGGTTATGAATATTAATACAATTCCTTTTCCTTCATGAATTTCTTTTTCCCAATCCTTTGAATTGAATTAATGGTTGAATGAGGGGACATTGCTTAATTAATCCTAATTCATTTTAATGAGATTCTTAACTTGGTTCCTTAATTTTGAGTTAATTTCTAAGGTTGCGTAATCTTGGGAAAATGGGTTGGAGTCCATTGAATTTGCTTAAATTCGTATGGGGTTTTAAGGTTGATTCTCGCTTGTTGAATTAATCTAATTCAAAGGAAGAGGAAGATGTGTTAAATGTTGAGAGGATGGGAATAGAATCACGTGAATGAACTAAGGATTGCAACACTTTATTGATTGAATTTTACCATTTTATTTCTTGCTCCCTTTATTGAATCTGGAAATCAAACAAACTCCCCTTTTTAATTGCTTTCATAGTGAATGTTTGTAACATGTTTAATGCATATTTTCAACAAAAGTCATTGGAGACAACCTAGGCTTGCATCCTAGACTACATAAAATTTCTGCATACTTTGATGAGGATTGACGACAAATCTTTATGCAAATCTTTCGTTCATCACTCCTTGATGGTGCATCCGCCCCTTTATTCTCCAAACCGGGTTTGTATACTATCTCAAAATCATACCCAAGCAATTTCGCAAGCCAATTTTGTTGACTCCTTATCGTAACCCTTTGCTGCAGCAATTGTTTCAAACTTTTTTGATCTGAATATACCTTAAAGCTTCTCACTAAGAGATAGAGTCGCTAATGTTGTATTGCTAAAGTCATTGCCATTAGCTCTTTCTCATACGTAGATTTGGCTAAGTTTCAACTACTCAGGGCCTTGCTGAAAT